ATTAGCGACTTTTAGAACCGAAAGGGGAGAAGTCGTAGACCTAGGCTCGCATGAGATAGATGATTTCGTAACTGAATAGTCTATAGGTTTTGGATTGAAATACACACTTGCCGATGACCCGTCTCTTGTTACGAAAAGTTATTGAGACTGGGATAATTGACATGTGTTGTATGCTTGAGCTAGCTCGTCTATGTTCAATCCCTTGTTACGAAGAGTTATTGGGAGCGAACCGCTAGATGTCTAAGCGAGAGTGTCAATCCCGAACCGAACAATTGATTGCCCGGTTTTGCTTAGAACTTGAATAAATTATCCCCGATTCCCTAGCTTCTTTATCGCTTTCTAGTTCGTACTTTAGGTTCGTTTTTGTTTGCTGTTAATTTCTTATTTGATAATATATTCCTCCCCTATCTGATTAGAGTGTGTAGGATTTATTTTCTTTTTCTGTGCAATCAATACCAAACTAAATCCGAACAGCCTTCCTTGTGAGATCGACCCGAGGTCGGGAGTCATCCCGTACTCGGTAAAAAATATAATTTGCTACAACAAACTACACCAAGGCCTGGGGTATACTACTGAAATTAAAAAATCAAACAAGTAACTATATTACAAACTTCAAACAAGTTTAGGATTTCCTCCACATGATATGATTTTGATCTGATGTGATTTTGATCGGTCCAGTTAATTTTCACCCAATAATTTTGGGAGAGATTTTCCATAATTGATAAATCATCTCATTAGGGGATATATTTTTTTTATACTAAAAATCATAATCAAATTTGTCCCCATAATTAATGAAATTTACCACAACATGAATTCAAAACAGTTTTAAAATTTGAAATTAATGATTCAATGGCGGGATTTTTAAAAAATTTTGAAAAAAGTACCAAGATTAGTAAGTTTTAATTTCGGCAAGATTTTAGTTACTTTTTCAGGTAAATTCAAACCTTTATATATCTATAGATATCGATATATAAAATAAGAATAAGATTGTTTCATTTTTATAAAGCATTTCCCGCCAAAAAAATTAATTACCTACAGTAGATGGAAATAATAAATATAGGTTTAAGTAAAAAAATCATTAATGCATAGTTTCTACATAACTAGCCTTTCAGTTTATGTTTGTTTTATTAAATTCTCAATTTCCTTTATTTACGTTGATAGTTGTTTGGTAGGCAAAGATTATATAAATAATTAGGCAGCCAATTTTAGAATTCTCATTTATGGAGGATTCTTCTTTTATTTTAGCATTAGAATCATTGATTTGAATTAGCATATATGTTATATACACAAAAAATAATTTCCGATTATAAAATTCTCATCTATAGAGGATTCTTTTTTATTTTATCATATTTATTAAAATCAACAATAATCACCCAATATAATTTCAATATCAATTGTCCTAGAGCATGCTTTAATTCTAGGAAAAATCAACATCGCTCTAAATCGAAAAGATCATTAGAAATACCTGGATCCATTGAGTTTCTTTTGCGGAATACGAACTCGATGGACTGATTGGATCAACAGGTATTGTGCCTTTCCTCAACTAAATCGCCTTATTCCTCAAATGGAACCATCGTTTTCAATTCTGATGGGGAGAAGAGAAAACTGTATTTGATTTAGTGTAGAGACCATAACCAATAGTTCTTTATATATTACTAGGGTAGGCCACCCATTATCACCTAACCCTAATAAAATTAGATATCCATCCAATCAGCCCATATCAATTACGTAGCTCATGGACTCTACTTTATTTATATTACTTAATTGAGTCTGTAAATTAATTGAATAGCTAATATAATTATATATACTCTGTCGCCCATAATTCGATTATACACATGTGTTATATACACAAAATATTTTGCAGGATTATTTAAATGTGTTTATGAATGAACGATTTGTTATGAGATATATGTAAATCCCCTTTTTACGGTGAGACATCCACAAATCTCTTTTTATGGTATTGTTTTTTACAACTGTTTTCAAAAATAATTTTTTTGAAATTTTGTATAGTAAATCGCATTTCGATTTTTCGTATACACAAAATATAAATATGCTATGCAGAATCTATATTCATATATATAAATCTACTATATAAAAAGTTTTTATTTTCATATATATACTAGAGCAGTTGTCCAATTAAAAGCTGTTCGACTTAAAAAAATTAGAATGAATTAATGTGTTTTTATATTTTATATCATAAGATGTAATGTCTAATGTTTTGCAGGTTGTAATACATATTATTCATTGATATTTTGTCGCTAATTACTAATATTTTTTTAAGACTGTAATACATATTATTCACATGTAATATTTTATATACTTTTAAACATGTTATTTGGGCAAACTTTTTTATA